ATAGACTTAGTCTAATGACTTGTCAATTTTTTCTAAAATTTAGATTTAATTCAAGTATTAGGTCAAAATACAATAAATGAACAAGACCGCTATAAAACGGCATTTAATGTTCCTTTTGGACAATATGAATGGAACGTTATGCCATTTGGATTAAAAAATGCCCCATCTGGATTCCAGAAAATTATGAATGATGTATTTAATCTTTATTTAAAATTTATGATAGTCTACATCAATGATGTTTTTATTTTTTCTACTGACATACATCAACATTTTAAACATTTAAATATATTCCTTAATACAGTAAAAACTGCGGGACTTGTCGTCTCCGCTAAAAAATTAGTTCTTTGCCAAACAAAAGTCCGATTCTTAGGACATAACATCTTCCAAGGCACAATCATTCCTATTGATAGAGCTATTGAATTTTCTAGTAAATTTCCTAATGTAATCTTAACAAAAGTAGAATTACAACGTTTCTTAGGATGTTCAAATTATATAGCAGATTTTATTCAAGACTTTGCTACTATTGTCAAACCATTATTTGATCGATTAAAAAAGAATCCGCCTAAATGGACGGATCAACATACTAATGCTATTCGACTTTGAAAAGCAAATCAAAAGAATTACCCTGTTTAGTTTTATCCGATCCTACTGCATTTAAAATTATTGAATGCGATGCTTCAGAACTGGGATTAGGTGGAATTCTTAAACAATGAAGTAATAACAATAAAGAACAATTAGTGAGATATAAATCTAAAGCTTGGAACTCTGCACAGCAAAATTATTCGACTATTAAAAAAGAAATTTTAGCTCTAGTGCATTGTGTAAATAAGTTTCAAAGTGATATTCTCAATACTTCTTTTCTTATTCGAACAGACTGTAAATCTGCTAAAGATATTCTGCAAAAAGATGTTCAAAATCTTATTTCTAAACAAATTTTTGCTCGTTGGCAAGCTATTTTATCAGCCTTTGATTTTTACCATTGAACATCTTCACAGCTCTGCTAACGGGTCTGTATCGACTGGGCGACAATGAGTCTTAACACTACCGTATAAATAGCTAATTTTAGTAAAAACTTATCAGCTAAACACTATTCACAACTAAAAATAGTCTAACAGTAAATATTAAGAAGTTTTAGTGGCTCTGATACCAAAATGCATGCCAAGATCTAAATTGGATTTTATCTAATTTTATCTTTAAATCATTGAAAACACTGTAGTATAGTCTAATAGAGAACGTAATAGCGCAGTATAATATAGAAAGCAACACAAAATGATAATAAGGGAAATAACAGAGATATCTACTAGAATCCAAGTAGTATGAATACTATCTCGAATTTTTACGCTAAAGATTAATTTGAACTGCATATAAACAAATTTTATAAAACAAAAAATGACTGGCAAAAAGGAACTAGGCGACTTTTGGAAACAATTCGGATATAGTTTAGATCTTTCCCAGAATAAACCTCATAAACATCGAAAGATAGAAAAAAGACAGAAATCATACAAAAAACTATATCATAAAAGGAAACCTAAATATAAAGACGAAAAATATGAGAAAAAACCCAAAGACAGAAAAAGATATAAAAGAAAAATACCTCGGTGTTATAAATGTGGAAAATTAGGACATTATAAAACTAACTGTAATGTTAAGAAAAAGATAGAATCCTTAATGTTAGATGAAAATGTAAGAAATCAGTTATATGAAATCATTCAACTTTATGATAAAGATAATGATATCGATACAACCTCTTCCTCATCCTCAGAAAATTCTGATGACGAATCAGATATAGGAATAATACTAGATGAAGATTTATTAAATGAAACATCCTTTTTATCTGACCAAGATAATAAATGTTCTTGCCATACCCTTATCAAAGAAGACAATTTAATTCTAGAAATTATAGACAAAATACCTAATATTGAAGATAAAAGAACCATAATCAGTCAATATATTCAAATAGCAAAAGCTAGAAATAAACCAACTCCATTAATTAAACCACCCGAAGAATATAGTCTCTTATAAATTCTGAAAAGAATTGGCCAAAAGAATAATAGTAAAAAAGAACCCACTATTGCTGAGTTAAAACACGAAATTAATGAAGTAAAATTTGAATTGATTAAGTTAAAAAACAGAATTAAATTATTGGAATTAACCGAATTCACAGATAATAATTCTGAAGATGAAGATGACGTAGAATTTGCGAATTTATTACATAACATGGAAGATAAACCTGAATCCTCTAATCTTAACCAAGAACTTCAATTAATTTTAATCAATAAAATTCTAAACAAAAAATGGTACACATTAATTAAAATCATAATTCAAAACGAATTTACCTTCCAAACATTAGCCTTAATAGACTCAGGTGCTGATTTAAATTGTATAAACGAAGGACTAGTTCCTACAAAATACTTTCAGAAAACAACACAAGTATTAAATATAGTCGATGGAAGTAAATTAAAAATCAATTATAAATTATTAAATGCTGCTATATGTAATAATGGAATTTGCTTAGAACTACCATTTATTATGGTCAGAGGACTAAATCAAGCTGTGATTTTAGGAACTCCATTTTTCAGTATGCTATATCCGATAAATATAGACCATACTGGAATAGAATCAACAATAGAAGGAATAAAAATCAAATTTGAATTTATCAATAAACCAAAAATAAAAGAAATAAATAATGTAAAACAAAACATACAAAACAAAGAAACATTTTTATCTCAATTACAAGCCGAAATAAAATATAAAACAATTGAAAAACAACTGTTACTACTTGAAATTCAAAAAACAATAAGTCAAATTAAAAGGCAAATCGAAACAGAAATTTGTAGCGAAATACCCACTGCTTTTTGGAATCGATATAAACATATAGTATCACTACCCTATGAAGAAACCTTTTCTGAATAAAAAATACCAACTAAAGCTCGACCAATTCAAATGAGCACAAAAATGGTATAAATATGTAAAAATGAAATAGATTCTCTCATAGCTAAAGGATTAATACGGCCTAGCTCATCCCCATGGAGCTATGCCACTTTTTACATAGAAAATAATGCAGAAAAAGAACGAGGTGTTCCTAGAATAGTCATCAACTATAAACCCCTAAACAAATATATATATATATATATATATATATATATTTATTTATTTATTTATTTCTTGTTCTGAGTTTAATTTACAATAACTTTGATAGTGTGGTTTGTCATTCACGTATATCTTACTGTAAATTTTTTTTTCTAATCTTAAATTTAATAGTCTGAATTTATTTATTTTTTATAAATTTCTCCCTCTTAATTTATTAGTCATCATTTGCGATTCAGTGTTTGTTTTAATTGGTATTGTTGGTTCTGGAATATTTTCTCTTTGTAATTTCTTTTGTCATATTTCTCTCTCTAGATTGCGTTTGGCTTACGTGATCATGGCGTACTCGGATGAGTCCTCTGTTTAATATAGAGAAAAGTTAAAGAGATAGAGACGCTAGAAGAATCGTCAAATGAATAGGAAGAGAGAGAAAATAAGTTTAAAGTTGTTATAGAAGAGTTATCGTAACTTAACATATGTCTCAATATTAGGCTCTATCTCTACGTCTCAATATTAGGCTCTCTCTCCAGAGCAGGAACAAGTTGTGTAGTTATTTTTTCTCAGATCAAGTTGCTGATACAGTACATACTTGAGCCCACGGTCAAGTAACTGAAAATAAAGCAAATAATTCTTCTCTTTATTTTCTAATAAAATTAATAAGAATAATAATAATAATTTGTAAAGATTGTAAAAAAAAAAAAAAAAAAAATTCTACTCTATGCAGGTAGCTGGCATCTTCTTTCTTCCATCTTTTTGTTGTTGAAAATTAATGCATATTATTATTATTGAATCTTATTATGCACGTGTCAATTCTATTGGAGTAAAGGCTTATGTACCAATTGCATATATTTATTTATTTTTATTTTTATTTGTGACCTATAATTTAAGGATTTTTTACATATTTTAGTTGCATAATAATTGTCACTGCATTGCATAATTATCCTATGCTTTGGTCTCTTTAAGTTAGAAAATTTCATGATCTTGATTTTATGTAATTTTTTTTTTTTGTGATTATGCAATGCCATATTTTTTATTGAAAAATATCAAATATCATTGTAAACTCTCCATCTTGTGCTAAGACATAATCACATATTTATAAAAATTATTCTTATGCAATATTTGACATAAAAGTAGTTATTGCCTTACTTTATTAATTTTTTGTTGCATCACAGCAGTGTGAACATAAACTGTTCGAGAAATTTTTTTCTTTGAAGTTGCAGCTCACTGAGAGTTGGCAAACTTATTGATTTAGCTAGCAGACAACATTTTCTTAAACACAATTAAATTTGTTTTTGAACTTTTAGATATTATATAAAAATTTAAAATGGCATCTAGGCTAGTCATGTCAGAATTATCCAAATTTGAAAA